TTGGCATGTGTTTACCATTATGAATATGTAAAGGATATATATATATTAGTCCATTTTCTTCTGCGTGTGCCTTATCTCCATTCCCCTTTGTGAATGCGGACCTTTGAATCCTCCCTTTTTGTTATTGTTGTCTCAAATTGTCCCTATGTATGCTGAATGTTCATTTTTATCTTGCAATACCAATTCTTATTGTTTAAGCTTATAATGCCCTGTTCTTGATAAGGGTTGCACTACTCTGCTTCTGTCTGCCTGCCAGTCGCCTTACTCGTAGTTATGTATTTTTTTTGTCATTTTGTTTAGGTGGGTTGACCCCTTTCAGTATTTCCTATAATGCAGGCCTCATAGTGGAGAATTCTCTCAACTTTTGTATGTCTGTAAAGGTCTTTATTTCTCTTTCATCTCTAAAGGAGAGCTTTGCCAGATACATTATTCTTGGTTGGTAATTCTTTTCATTTAATAGTTGGAATGTTTGGTTCCATTTTTTTCTTATAAGATTTGTGCTGAGAAGTCTGAATAGTCTAAAGGGTTTTCCTGGTTTCCCTGGTTTTCTTGAAAAATCTTTGTCATTAGTTTATGATCATTTTAATATAATGTGTCTTGGATAGGCCTTTTTGGGTGTTCATTTAGTTCTTAGATTTGAAGCTCCAGTTCATTCCTTAGATTTGGGAAATTCTTGTCAACTATTTGTCTGAATATGCTGATCCCTTCTTTTCTTTTCCTTCTGGAATAGCCATTATTCTTGTTTCCTTTCCTGATGCTGTCAGCTAGTTCTTATATTTCTCTTTCATTAATTTTCATTTTTCTTTCATTTTTCTTCTTTCTTCTGAATTATTTCTAGATTTCTATCTTCAATATCACTTATCCTTTCCTCTATTTGGTCAACTCTGTTTCCTAAGCTTGCTACTTCATTTTTTACTGCATAGTGTGTTCATCTCCAGAAGTTCTTTTTGGTTCTTTTTTAGGGTTTCAGTCTCCTTGGTAAAAACTTCATTCTGCTGTTCTGATTTTTTTCTCAACTCCTGGAATTGTTGAGCTGAGTTATTTTAGATCTTATTGAGTTTTTGCAGAAGTACAATCCTGAATTCTTTGCCACTTAAGTTGCATATTTCTATGTTTTTAAGCGTATTCTCTGAAGATTTTTCTTTCTTTCTGAGCTGCCTTGTCACTTTGGTTCTCTATGGTGTTCGATGGACTATTTCTCCACCTGGGCATTAATGGGAGTGAATTCTTTTTTTTTTTTTTTCCTCAGGAAGATTTACTAAATAGAGGTCTCTCTTTAGCCTGTAGCTAAGGTGTTTTTCTTTTGATTTCTAGTAGGTGGCGTCCAAGCCTCTTGGATCCCTGTTTTGAGACAGTGATGCCTTTTTATCCTATAAATATTCAATCACAGTTTCTACTCTAAGTCTCAGTCCCTGTCAATGTTAGCAACAGTTTTGGTAGCATTTGCTCAGATTCCCCTAGGGCTTCATGGTGTTTCGTCTTGGAGAATATGAGGTGGAGAGAAAGTGTGCTCTGGATTGGTGGGTGGGGGTTGCTGCTAGTCTCCATGTCTCAGCCTTATACTTTAGAGCTGTGGCTACTAAGACCCAGCTGTTGCCCTTCTGCACTTGGTTCCTGCTTTGCTTTCTGTCCTGATCCCTGGACTCCACTATGTGGAGCTCACAGATCCCTCAGGCAGGGCTGTTCAAGTAACCAGCCACACCTTCTTCCCTTGCAAGAAGCGCTCTGGCTGCAAGAGGCAGCTTCTTTGTTCCTCTCAATCTACCCCCCAAGACTCCCATGCTTCTATAACTTCTAGAAGTGCTTAGGCGCAGATCACTTGCTCAGATGTGCTTGTGTGCAAGTTGGGTGTTATTCAGTTTTAGATGATCAGCTTACTATTTCAAGAGGAGAGATCCGGGGACATCTCTCACTCTGCTATGATTCTGACGTCACTCTACCCTCGTGTTTTTAAGTATACAATTCAGTAGTGTTACATATATTCACACTGTTGTGCAACCAAACACCAGCACTCTTTTTTCATCTTGCAAAAACTGAAACTCTTAAGTCCATTGAACAACAATTCCCCATTCTTCTCTCAACTCCTGGCAAACACCATTCTACTTTCCGTCTCTATGATTTTGACTACTCTAGATATCTTACATAAGTGGAATCATATAGTATTTGTCTCTTTGTGACTGGCTTATTTCACTTAGTATAATGTCTGTAACGTTGATCCATGTTGTAGCATGTGTCAGAATTCCTTTTTAAGGCTGAATAATATTCCATTATATGTATATCTATATTTTGTTCATTGGTTGATGGACACTTGGGTTGCTTCCACCTTTTGGGTACTGTGAATAATGCTGCTATAAACTTGGGTGTACAAATACCTCTTATTTGTACCCAATTATTTTGGGTATATACCCAGACGTGGGATTGCTGGATCATATGATAAATCTTTTTCAATTTTTTGAAGAACTACCATACTGTTTTTCCATAATGGCTTAACTATTTTATATCCACACCAATTGGGCACAAGGATTCATATTTCTTCATATCCTCACCAACACTTGTTATTTTCTGGTTTTTTGATAGTACTCACCCTAAGGTTTATTAGGTGGTGTCTCATTGTGGCTTTGATTTGCATTTCCCTAAAGATTACTGCTTGTTAGCCATATCTTTTTGGAAAAATGTCCATTCAAGTCTTTTGCCCGTTTTTTGTTTTTTGATATTGATTTGTATGAGTTCTTTATATATTCTGGATATTAACTCCTTATCAGATACATGATTTGCAAATATTTTCTATTCTATAGGTTTCCTTTTCACACTGTTGTCCTTTGATGTAGTCCAGTTTATCTTTTGTTGTCTGTGCTTTGTCATCATACCAAGAAATCACAACCAAATCCAATGTCATGAACCATTTCCCTGTGTTTTCTAATTCATAGTTTCAAGGTTTACATTTAGATCTTTGACCAAATTTGAGTTAAGTTTTGTATAGAGTATTAGATGGGGGGGTACAACTTCATTCTTTTACACTGAGATATCCAGTTTCCTAGCAGTTTAAGAGGCTGTCCTTTACCAGTGAATGGTCCTGGCACCCTTGTCAAAAATCATTTGATCTTATATGTGAAGATTTATTTCTGGACTATTTCATTGGTCTATATGTCTTTATGCTAGTACCACTGTTTTGATTACATTAGCTTTGAAATGTTTTGATATTAAGAAGTGAGAGACCTCTACTTTTGTTATTCATTTTCAAGATTATTTAGCTATTTTTGGGCCCTTGAGATTTCATATGAATGTTAGGATGGCTCTTTATATTTCTGTAAAATACGCCATTGGAATTTTGATAGGAATTGCACCAAATCTGTAGATCTCTCTACATGTAATGTAGTTGGTCTTGTTTTTATTAATCCATCCATATTGCAAGTAATCACTATAATAGGGAAGAACTTCCTGTTGACATTTTGTTAATTTTTTTCTCTATGTCTTAAAAGCATTTTTGTATCTCATTTAAATGTCTTAATTTCCTAAGAGTCCTCCTCAGTCTGCTTATTTTCAGAGCCTTAGATGTTGTGTTTTATTCCTCTGCCCATAATCTCCTGCCTCTAGGCAGCTGTGGTTCTGTAGACCTCTGCAGCCCTCATGTGTCCAGCAGGACCCACCGCTGCTTTCAGCAGCCTCCAAGCTGCTATCCAAATTATGCCACCATTCCATCAGTGCTCTGAGTCAGGCAAGACAGAAACCAGTCCCTTAGACAGCCCTCAGACAAGTCAGAACATAACAACCAAGTTCTACTTTTCTTTCCATCCCAAGGGAGGATCTGAAAACTAAGAGGCTTCTATTATGCCTGGGAGGTGAAAGGGGGAACATAAATGCCATGAAATCTTCTACTTTGAATGTGGCTTTTGCTTGGTTGCTGCTGCTTAATTGGCTTCTAGAGGCCTCATAATGCTACACTGGTCTGTATAGTCAGTATTTCCATGGGTGTTCCTTGGGGAACAAGGGCCCAGATCTCCCTACTCTATTTTGCTGACATCACTCTCAATTATTTTTTAAAGAAATTAAAAATATATTTACCATGTTGCTATTTCTGGTACTTCGTGTGTGTATGTGATTCAGATTTCCTTCTGGTACTTCCTTTTGCATGAGATTAACATTTTTAAGTATAGCAGCTTCCTTGAATAATGTTTCATTATGTTAATGAGATGCCTTAAGTACTTAACTCTTATATCAATTAGCCTATGCTGAAATTGGTTTTGTTATATTATCATTTCACTTAAAGTCACAGAACCTGTTGATGACATTGAAGACTTACTGTATAAGATCTTTCTGTACTTAGTAACTGCTGCTGACCTGTCTTAAAATTTACCGATCCTCTTTCTGCATTGTCTAAATTACTTCAGAGCTCATCCACGTAATTTCTACCAGGACTACAAACTCGGTCTTCCATCTTGGGCAGTGGTAGAATTCTTTCCTCGGCTCTTTAGACCACAGCTGTTGCCTTCACTGGGTTCCTTGGAATCTCACTCTACACACAGTATTTAGGTGTCTGCAGATTTTAGGGGCTCTTTTCTTACCTGGAAATTTCTACCACCCCAGCAGCTCTACTGTCTCATTTCTGAGCCCAATAAGACTGCTGCTTTTTGCTTCAGGTCTATTTCCTGTGAACCCATGAACTGGAAAGTGCTCTCAGAAGCCAGCTGAATGTGGGTCTCAACCAATATGCTTTATTTTTTTTTCAAGGATCGTATCACCTCCAGTTTCTGCTTATTAACTATTTATCTGTGCTTTCAAATGTTTTTAAAAATTGTGTCCAGAATTTCTATTTTCTACTATCAGGAGAATTCATTTTTCAAACTGTGAGACCTATGCATCATAAAAGTTATCAAAGAGAACTTTACCAAAAATTTTATATATCAGTTAAGAAATGGTTTTATTGCTGATGTGATGATAGTTTTTATAATTCTTCCATTAAAAGACTACAAAAGTATATGGTATTTTTTTTCCTTTTGCAGGATATAGCAACTGAAGAACACAAAAAAATCGAAGCATTAAAATCAGAAAACAAGAAGCTAGAAAAACAAAAAGGAGAATTAATGATAGGGTTTAAGAAGCAATTAAAATTAATTGATGTTTTAAAAAGGCAGAAGGTGAGTCTACCCTAAAAAAGTTAAACCATATGTTTAATCTCCATATGACATATATAAGATTTATATATAATGTCACCCAAGCAAATAGACATTTTCATGCAAGCAAATTAATAGTGTGAAAAATGAGACTGGTAAATACAGTTAGAATACTCTAACTGTATTTACAAAATGCCATATACAAAAATAGCTGTTATCTTAGGGGATGGGTTTGCCTCTTGATTCCAAACCACTACTGTTCCATCCTCTACATGAGTTACTTGGTAGTAAGAGGAATTCATTTTTCTGCCACTTTTTGCAAAGGGTAGGTGCTAGCACTATTAATTGTTCTCATAGTAGTTTGGTGCAGTACCACCACTGGACAAAAAGGTGACCCGTGAATATAACTACCATTTCAAATATGTTTATTGGATTTAGAATACACAGTTCTACAATAGCTTACAATTTGATAGCATATTCTACACACAAATTTTCTGTGGTCTACTCTTAATACTAAATTAGACAGTATTGATTTTTTTTTTTAAAACAGATGCATATTGAAGCTGCCACGATGCTGTCTTTCACTGAAGAGGAGTTTCTAAAGGCACTTGAATGGGGAAATCCTTAAATGGTCTTTACTTAGTCTCTATAATCAACAGTATGTAATGAATATACATTTTAACTTGTAATGGTTTGAATTATTTTTACTCTTAAGCAATGACTATATTTGATAATGAAATTAAAACAATTCCAAAGAATTCCTTATTTAGGTTGGGGGGAAATATAAAATAAATAAAAATTTAACTTTTGATTCTTTCTTATGACCTACTAGCCCTTTCTCAACTACACTTGAATAGAAAATTTTACGTTTTGGAACTTTAGCTCTACTTCATAAATGGTAGTTTATCTGAAATTGCTTTTAATTTCTTGACAATTAAGCACATTACTTTTCTTCTCCCTTACAAAAGACATAAAAGTTACTTTTAAAAATACTTAATGTTTAAAAACAATGTGAAGATTTCACTTTGTATTAGTTTGCTAGGGTTGCCATAGCAAATTGTCTTACAGTTCCGACGGCTGGAAGGCTGAGGGCATGGTGTTGGCTTCTTCTGAGGCCTTGGCTTTTGGATGGCTGTCTGCTCCCCATGTTGTCACATGCTCAGAAAGATGCTTTAAACCAAAATTAATTCTAAACACTTATTTCCCTAGCCAAATGATAGTAAAGTTCCTAGAGTTCTAAACAGAGTACTGTAGCCCAAATGGGGATACATAAAATCTGAACAGTAGCAGTGGTATGGAGAAGTTAGGCCAAACCTAGACTACTCTATGTTTATATATAGAATGCTGTAATATGGTATAGAACTCAAATATTCATATTATCAATACAAAAACACTATGACTGAAAGCAATTTTTCAGTTAAAAGTATTCAGGATTTTAATTATCAGAAAGCATGTTTTCTTATAGATAATTGTTTACAATTAGATGTATCTTAGAAAATCCAAAAAGACAATGGAGTCCTAACACTGAACTGGAAAACAAGAGTTACACTGACATCTAGTGGTAACATGCAAGAGAACCCAGGTTTTACCACATCTTGTTATCACTTCTCTTCACAAATTTCACTCCTTTTCTGATATGCTTTCCTAAACTCTTCACCGAGCATATCAATATCATCTTCTTTTTTGAACACTCCCTACAAGAAAAATATTTTGTTACTTTGAATGCCAGAATATATCATTAATGCTTATATATAGATGTGAAATTTGTAGTTATCTCCAAGATTTATGAAAATCATTTTCTGAAATTACAACTTGATGTATATATTGAATATTCTTAGACTAACCTAATTTCTGATTTATCAGTTCCAATGTCAAAAGTGTCACAGGAGTCTGGACTCTTCTACTTTACTATTATAAGTACTACTGCTTAGATTGGGTGAATGGGAAAGAATTTATACTATACCCTACCCTTGTCTGGAAACAGCCCTACAATATGATATGAGGGGACAGGGTGATGAGACTGAGCTTTGCCAGATCCATGCATGGGAGTGGCTCTTGCCTCAGTTCTATGGCTAATCACCAAACATTCAATCTTGTAGGAAAGAATCCAGGTTTGGAGTTAAGCCATTTAAACTAGCCCTTTGAAATTCTCTCTTCTTTTCCCTTACAGTAAAAGGCTCTTTAAAATCAACTGAACTTAAGTATGTATTTATAATTAAAGGATCTAAAGAATAATTTAGGTCAGTCGGGCCCATCAGAACCTAAAGGATAAAAGTTACTTTAGGATATCTGGTTTACTAGACTCTTCATCTCCACAATTATTTCCAAAAAAAAATATCTAAGCCTCAAGACTCTCCAAGAATGTGTAGTCTATTTCATGGATTTTATCAATTCCATATGGCTTTTTTTCATTAATACATCATTTTGTATTCATTAATCCTGTTTAAACAATTAAACTATAAGGTCCTGTGGGCAATAATTACTTGTTTCTCTTTTTCCTTCCTTACTTAGCACTGGACTAAATACAAAAGATGCACTCAATTCTTCTAATTTAATATCAAATGGCATAATTTCTATATTATGCCATGAAGGATGGAAACTATTTACATGAGTTCAGATGTTTACAGGGCCTATGAAACTCAGTTGTTATAGTCACAGTATTTCAGATGTACATGAAAATTTGCTATCTTCTGGAAGAACTTTTAAAAACAGGTTACCTAGTTATAACACAACCTCTTATTGTAGAGCAGTTCTATCACAGACTCAGTTCAAGCATGTATCTGTTATTGGTATTAATGACATGCAAGGAAAATCTTGTAATCAGTATCACCTTTGAGAAACAAAGTCTCACAATTGCTTTAGGGTAGTTTAGTTTTAGACCTCTTACACTGAAAGGGGAGAAAAGAATCACTAAAATTTAATTTCAATAAATCTAGCTCATACTTCTAAAAATGTGCCAAGACTAACTCATTTTAGAGCTGTTCAGTGACTGGCTAAGATCCCACTGCTGCCTGGTAACAGCAAGAAGCGAGCAAAACCCAGGCCTTCGGTAACCCTAATACCATAGTTTTCCCCACTGGTAGAGGTCATGAGGAACCCATTTCGAGTTAAATCTCACTTACTTTAGGGAGATAGCCTAATAATTTTGTAGCATGTTCTTTGAGAAGTTTCAGTCTTTCTTCTTCAATAATTGCATTAATACATCCTTGTCTTCTTTGCTGCAACTGCCATTCTTCCAGTTCATGTTGCTGGAAATTTAAGTCAAATTTTACTAATTATCACGAAATACATTAACCTTTTAAGAAGTTATCAAAACTTACCCTTACAATGAATTAGATAAAATTGATGAACATTTATTGACACTTCAAAGGACACCAGGTGGTATATACATATTATATATACATATCTTTTGCAGTCACTATTCCTTTAAAGTTACAAAGAACAGTAGTTACGACTGTTTTAGGGAGATTTAGGGATTTTAGGGAGACAAGTACATATTTTCAGGACACATCTTCCTAACCCAAGAAGAAATGTTCAAAGAAGTCATTTCATAATTAATTCAACAAATATTTATTGAATGCTTACCCTATGGTAAGCAGTTTGCAGTGTCGGACCAAAAAAAGTGGGTAAAACATAATAGGGATATCTAAAAGATATTTTCATATACATCAAATTTTTAAAAGCCTGTATGAAGCACAAAAGTACCAGCAAGAGTTATACAGGGAGAACCAGTATTTCTTAGGAAAGAGTTCTGAATACTCGATCACACCAAAATTCTGAGCCATATGATATGGAAGAGAAGACTAGTTTTAAAAAGTGTTAGGGCTTAAAAGATCACTTATGAAAATGTATCCCAAAAATCCTGTTGGATACGGAAGGATGCTAAAAGGAAGACCACTGAAATAGTGAATTTCAGCTAAGAATTAGGTTAAAGTAGTATTAATGCAAAGCTTTTCTATGAAATAACTAATTTATTATGGTCACTATTTCTTCAGACCACTCCTTGTCAAAGTCATGGAAACCAGAAAGGAAAAAAAATATATATATATCATATGATTAGTAAACAGATATCTAACATTATCTGGCACATCAAAGGTTCTCAGTTAAATGTTTAGTGGATGAATACATGAGCCAGTTGCCGTTTAATGACCAAAAAACAAAACAAAACACTTACTTTGTCTGCAAG